ACGCGTGTGCAATTCAAACACACATGTACGCACACGTGGAACACACATGTGTTCACCTGGAACGCAAACACATGCAATTAAAGCATACATGTGTGTACACGTGGGACAAACATATGTGTGCCACTGGAACACACATATGTGTCCAGGAACACCGCCTGCGCGATTCAAGCACACACGTGGAACACACATATGTGCACACATCAGCAAACATAAACGCTCACCTAAAGCGCACACACATGCACGCACCTGGAAAACAATCATGTGTTTGCTGGAGCACATACATGTGCACACTGGAGAGCAAATATGTCGACAATGCAAAAAGTGTTCACCTAGAACATGCTAGTGTGTTCACGCGCAACACACATGTGTTCACGTGGAGTCCAATTGTAACACACATGTGCGTCGACGTGGCACACACATATGTGTACACGTGCACGCACATATGCGCACACGTGAACACTCACATATATGTGCACCCAGAACACACACCCGTGCGCTCATCTCATGAACACGTGTCCAATTGGAACAAAAATGTGTGTACACGCGAAAAAACACGTATGTGTACACGTGGAACACACATTAGCGCACACGTGAACACACAAACACGTGTCCAACTCCAACACACATGTGTGTACGCGTGGCCACACACATGCGTTCACGCGGGAGGCACAAATGTGCACACGCGAACACACAGATTTGCACACGTGGACCACACACATGTGCACAGCACGCGTGAACACACACGTTTAGCACAGACACACACACACACGAGTGCCAGTCTGAGAACACACACGTGTTCTCTTGGAACACAACCACGTGTCCAGTTGGAACGCACATGTGTGCACACGTGAACACACAAATGTTTACACATGGAACACACATATGTGTACACGTGAACACACATACATGTGCGCCCGGCGCAGACACACACACACATGTTCATCTGATAACAAACATGTGTTCTCCTAGAACACATACACGTGTCCAATTGGAACACACATGTGTGCACAAGTGAATACACGTGTGTGTGTGTACACGATTTGTGTACACCTGAACACATATGTGTACACGTGGAACACACACGTGTGCACACGCACACACACACAAATATGCGCACCCGGAACACGCACACACACACACACACACACACGCGCGTTCATCTGATAACAAGCATGTGTTCCTGGAACACACACACACACGCGCGTACACCTGGAACACATGTGTGCGTGTGTCTGGAAAGCACATGTCTGTTCACCTGCAACACATTTGCGTTCACCTGGAACCCATACATGCGCTCGCTTAAAATCAGGCGTTTGCGTTCACGTGCAACACGGGTGCAGACCTGAATCGCACAACATGTTTAACCAGAACAAACTTCTCTGTTGACTTGAAACACACATATGTGTACACATGGAACACACGTATGTGCACATGTAGAAAAACATGTACAACACAAATGCGCAACACAACTGGACCGCAGAAATGTGGTCACATGGAATCTACATTTTTTGTACGCCTGGGCGAAACAAGTTCCCGAAGCCGGCTGTGAGGCGCTATTCCATGAAACTCTGCCTTGAACAACGCTTGTGTTTTATATGCGTGTTCCAAGTCGGACAATAGTGTTCGTGCGCGATCAATCTAGCTTTTTTGCAACACGTTGTGGCACGCGGGCCTGCTGCTGCTGCTGCTGCTACTCCCAGTACTATCAGTGGATGCATCTACAGGCTTCAGATTGGCAAAAGCTTTCTGGCGCATTGCGCTTCTTTCTCGCTTAACTGCACAGTCTCTTTCATATCGAACAATCTGTTGCTCGATAGAACGCTCTAAAGTGCCTTTATCGTATTGCGGCAACTCTTCGTATCGATTCAGTAAGCATTTGCCTTCGCAGGGAAATACGCAACCCAATTCTTCCGTACGCTCGGTACAAGGCATTTTTGCCTTCTCGCCTCAGCCGCTTTTTCATTCCATGGTAACTGCATGCGAGGAGAGCCGAAGCAAATTGAAATTGAGGCGTAACTGGGAACCGGTCACAGCTGACCACTGCGCTAGCGCCTTGTTAGCGCGCGGCTAGCGCGGGTTTGCAGTTTTTGTTGGAGTCGCGGCGACCATCTGTCAAACCAAGCGCCAGCCTAGCGCCTCCAGTGGGGACCGGGCAATCCATTGGTATTTTCAGGACTCCACTTTGTGTGAATGAAAAACGGCACAAAATGACTGCGACGGTGGCCTCTGTAGACTAAACTCCCTTACTCAGAATTTTGACCGGATCGCATATGTGTTTTTATCACAACAATCGCATGCTTTCATGTGCTCACGTGGAACACACACACACACATGTGGTCACATGCAAAAAATGCGTCGTGCCAGACATCCAAGCTGGGAGACAATGGGAGACAAACGAATCCGTCCCGCCAGAGAGCTGTGACAGGTCCAGGCTGAGAGACAACGGGGCCAAATAAAGGGAGACAAAGGGCGCGCCAGACATCCAGGCTGGGACACCACGGGAGACAAATGAAGGGAGACAAAGGGAGACAAATGAACCCGTCCACCAAGAGAGCCGTGCCACGCATCCAGGCTACGGCTTGGCAATAGGCGAGTCACTTTAAATGAATTTAGAACCCCTCACAGGAAACTGTTTGGGGAAAAATGAAGGCCGTCGTGCCAGCGTCCTCGAAGCGCTGCGCGCGAAGCTTCCTCGCCAGCGCCGCCAGGTTCTGGATCGCCTGGCCGATCTCGTCCTCGCTCTTGGCGTCCAGCCGCTCCTGGGCCTCCGCAACTCCGAGCGGCCGAACATCCATAAAGAATTTGCCCAAAGGCAAAGGAATGAAATCCAAAGCGAAGTCAGGCCATCTAACATGGAATTGCCGGAGTCAATGCAAGTCTCTTGTCGGTCTCACCTCTGGAGATGTGTGGGAAAGCATTAATCATTTGGCCTACCGTCGCTCAATCACAGTAGCTGTGTCTGCACGTCCGTGGTTTAGGCGCGGCGGGAGCGCTGAAGCCCCTTGTTTTGAAGCCCGGGGCGCCTCCTTGTAGGAGAGTGCGGCACGGGAGTTCACGACACCCTGAGAGTCCAGGGTTCAAGGCTTGCTTTGACAAGTCACGGGCTTGCCTTGGCGAAAGTGGTGTTGACCACTTCAGCCTCCGGGGTCATTTCGAAGATGGCCGAAAAAGTCAGCCTGTCCTGCCAGAAGAGAGGACATTGCTGGACGGCTGAGTGACTGGACTGTGCTTACAGCACCATTGCTTTCAATGAGCCGTTACGTGGCTGTCATGGCGAGCATGGGAAGGAGCAAGAAAGCTTGCTTGCTATCTGTCCTTGCCGTCACAGCGCAGCGAGCAAATATCTGTTGTGAGCAATCTGGGCAGCATGTCCTCGGGGTCCCGGGCAGAATATGAGTTCTTTCGGAGCTAGGAAGCCATCAAAAGCCCCAAAAGCCTAACCGAAACATACTGGCATCTGTTCTGTCAAAGTCTCCACGCGCCGATCCACCAAGTACACGGAGGTGGATCGCTCTGCCGCCTGGTAATGTCAAGCAGAGTGCGTGAAGCTGTGCCTCGAGCGATGCAAGAAGGTCTTCATTGGACTGGCCTCGCGATCCAGCTCCGTGCCAGGCTTCACGTAGTGCGTCACGTCTGCAATGTGCACCTCACGTGCGCCCCGTGCCGCGCTTCGCGTGCTCTGTGGGATGTCTGCGGAGCATGCTGAGCTCCGCTCGCCAACCTCGAAGTTCCCATTGTCCAGCTTCACGCACGACAGCGCATCGTCGACATCTTCACAACCTTGAAAGTGAAAGGCAAACCCGAGAAATCACGGTAACATGACTCCCTAAGCTGGGACCGCGTTAGAAGAACAAGTGGAAGAGGCCATCTTAGGAAGGAAGGAAGAAAGGAAGGAAGGAAAGGAGGAAGGTGCTATGCGAGTCATATTGACCAATGTCAGGCCATTTCTCTGCCTGGTGGGTCGATGGAGAAGATGCAAAGACCCCGGAGGTCCAGCCGCTTTTCCACCTCCTCCTTCGGCACGGTGAAGTTGGCGGGTGGCAAACATTTCAGCACTTCCTGCCAGCGAGGCCAGCGACGAGATGTTCAAGGCCTCAAAGTCCGGTCCGCGTGCCTCTGTGAACGGCTCGTCCTTCACGCTGTGCTCCAACCTAGGAGCGCACAGGGCAGGTGTCTGGTGTCAAAGACCGATCAAACGATCGTAGTTGTAGTAAAAATAATGCACAGAAAATGAGCGAAGAAGCAAAGGACCGAGAAAAGCAAGCAAAAGGCGGGCAATAAGCAAGCAAAAAGCAAGTCCCACAGATTTGCGTGCGGGCGGCAGGATTACCTGGGTCTCTGTGCTGAGGTCTCCAATCTTGCCCAGCTCCCGGCTCCATCTTGCACGTGGAAAGTCACTGGACTGCCTCAGAACGCAGTAGCTTTCCACCAGTCTCGAACTGGCAGCAATCTTGTGACTTGGTGCTTGCGCTAGCAGTGCTTGGTGTCTGTTGCCAGAATCCGTCTCCTCGATCCAAGTTACGGCCATGCGCTGATGACGACTGCCACTCGTTTGTCCTCCGGCAAGCTTGCAATCTCAGGAGTCTTCCGACGGATCTGAACTCGGAGCACATGCAAAGCCAGGGTCTACACTATCAGGCTGAACTACTACACTTGGACCCTTGCGATCAGGGAATCTCAGATTACCATCTTTGTGGGCAGTAGATAGGCGAAATTGGACCTCGCAATCAAGCACAGCAGTCCTCGACATCCCCCTTGACCTCTTCAGGTCCCAAAAACATCCGTGGAAAGCGCTCGTCTGCAGGGACGAGAACAACATCGTCCTGAAAGGTAGCAGTCAACAGTTGTCGCTGACGCTTGGAATCTGCATGCATATTCAGGAAAACAAAACAAGTATGGCTGTCAAGGAACCATCGCAGTCTACACTGATAAAGCACCCCTTCCAAGCCAGCAAAAGTAGCAACAGCACCGTCGGAAACATAAGTGCCAGGAAAGCAGCAACAACTGCCCTGCCAACTGCTCTCACTCTTTCATTCAAGTCGGCAGTCCTTCCTCGCCTCGCTGTCAGCAGCAACCCGCTCTGCATCCTTGGCAAAAGCATGCTTTAGAAAACTTTGCGAGTATTGCAAATCAACCCAAGCCGAACCTCAAGCTGGTCGATGGCATAGATCGTTCCAGCAATCTCGCGCTGAGATCCTTGGAGGTGGAGGTGGCGCCAGTTTGCCACGCAGCATACATCGAACCGGGTGATTTCCCTCTGTTGATGGCCAAAGCCTCATGCTCCAAGGCACGCTCTTTGATTGCGACAATCCTCGCACCAGGCTTGTCTCCAAAAAGGAGGGCCTCCGAACCTTCCTGCATCACCTGAGGGCTATGCTTTGAGGGAAGCAATGGCCAAAGTCTGGCCTTCTGCACCTCGTCTTCCTCTGTGATCATCCCATGTCTCAGCACGGTCGCTGCCGTTGCATCCTACCCGCGAATCTCACCCAGCTTGCGCAGCAGCTCCAGAACGCATCTCACAACTCACAACCTGCCTGCGCAGCCGTGAGCCGCTCAATCACAACCTGAGCTGGCTGGTTGCACGGTGGGAATATAAATAGATGGACGTATCTACATCGATCATGGAGCATGATTTTCTTCAATGTCTTCATGCGCTGCGCACCCGAACCCACTCGTGCGCTCAGCGGCAATGTCTCCATCCACTGCCCGATTCATGTTTTGGCTTCCCTTCACAACGAACTCTCCGAGGTCGTGGACCAGCACCAAGCCTCTCAGTCGAATCAAGCATCTCAAAGATGCGTATCTCGGCAACGGCCGAGACGCTACTTTGCTATGTCACAGCCTCTGGAACTGATCTGTTTTTTTTTTGTTCTTTTTCTTTTTTTCTTCTGTTTTTCCGGGGGGAGGGGGGGGGAGGGGGAGGGGGCAGAAACCTCGAAATTGTTGGGCACCGGGGCACCGCTCCTTGCCAGTCCCCGGGCCTCGAGTCTGAGACTTGGGGCAGCGCAGCTGACCAGTCAGCAAGCGCCCAGACTTCAGGCCCGCGGCCAATTGCCCCGCCCTGACGCAGTCTCCGCTCTGCGCGCTATTGGCTCGTCATGGGTCAGACATTATATTTGTAGCGAGAGTCACGAGATGTGGCATATGCGTCTTACATCCGTCCGAAGTGGGCCTCCAGTGCGCTGGGAAGCCAGTCTTCTTCTTTGGTGTCACCTCTTCTGCTCCCTCTGCTACTGCGTCCTCCTACGGCAAGCCGAGACACATTCGGAGACATCGGGACACGCATGCCAAAATGTCATGCTGTCTCAAGACAAGAACCAACCCGCTGCAGGCCTTCGGCGCGGCTGGTTTCGGCTGAGGCCGTCGAGTCCGCCTGTGGAGCTGCAAGCAAGCCGGCCAGTATGCAAACAAACCCTGGCATCTGTCACCGTCCAATCAATCCCAGCATGCGCATGTGAAACCAAAGCACATTGCGCCGGTTTCCTCCAAGCCTCAAATCCGCACACCCGGACCTAAGCCCGCCTGCGCTTCTTTGGCTCCGCCACGGCTTGTGCGCAGAGGGCCACTCCAACGAGGCAGGCGATTGGCTTGCAAGGCACGCCAGCGCCAACCCCAGGCCCGGGCCTGGCCCAAGCCGACGACATCCCCCGACACTCAACGAGGGCTGTCACCGGTCATCGATTTGATGAGTTTGTCGCTTCAGTTTTGCAGAAAGCCGGCCCCCTTCATGGCCTGGCAAGGGAATGGGGACCAGTGCCTCAGCAAGTACACTCCAAGAGAATCCAGAGATGCACATCCTGAGGTCGGAACTGCTCGCAGCGCTGGCTGTCAACCGAGGCACGTGGATCCTGTTGCATGTGCCAATTCGGAGTAGCCAACGGAGTGAAGATTCCAGACAAGAGTGCAAGTGAGACAAAAGCCTGCAGGGACGCAAAAGCTAAATCCTCCTGGCAATTGTCGGTGCCGCAGGCTCCATGGCACTGATGATTAAAATCAAGACCTGTCTGGAGTCATGATATTGTTTGTTATGTTCACATCCTTTTAAAGCTGGGGCACAATTCAACTGGCTGACGCGTGTTGGGCTGAGAAATATCTCCGAACCTCGTGTTTAGGGGATTCGGGGACTCCCAGCATCCTGCTCTGATTGTGACTTCTATCCTCTGACGAGCGGCACGGTGTCACACTGCACTGCAGCAATGCTCCCAGCACTCAAGAAGAACAACACATACTTAGGGGAAGATCAGGTTGCCCACGTTCGATCCCCCATTTTCACATGAGCTTCCCCGCTCAGCCACCGCTCCACTCGAAAGGCTCACAGAGCTCCCGCTCTGCTCCATCCTCTCAGGGCGGATTCGATACTTCGCAGACCAGGCATTGTGCGCACGAGCCCGCACGAGCCCGCCCACCACTCCAGCCCGACGACGACCACCACAACCACGACGACAACAGAATCCACAACTAAGACAACAAAGGCAAAGAAAACGACCAAGCAAGCAAACAGGCAGTCAGGCAGTCAGGCAGTCAGGCAGGCAGGCAAGCAGGCAAGCAAACGAACAAATACAAGGGAGCAATAACAACAAGCAATTGAACACCTCGATATCTTCCAGCGCTCCTCACCCACGCTAAGCGCCACAGTGTATCTCGCAGGTCGCTGGCTCCTGACAGGATGCATGCCATACAGTCCGACATAGTTCTGCTCATACCAAAAAGACATAGTTTCATAGATATATATATATATATATATATATTTATATATATATATACATAATACATATTACATATACAGTATACACATATATGCATATACACCTGTATACATATCTTAGATATACACATGTGCAAAGGAGGGGTATGTCTAAGCCTTCTTCGGGCGCTTGCCAGCAATGCGCCAGGGCACAGGTCGGCAGTGCAGCGGCACAGCACCCGGCTGTCAGCGCTGAGCTCCACCGGCTCTGCAAGCAAGCGGAGGTAAAGCGTGTTCCAAGATGAATCCTTCATGGCACGCAGTTGGCTCGTCTGATTTTGAGTCATTGAGCCCCCTTTTTGTGGCTTTAAAGCGCCCCCCCCAGCTCTCCACCAAACACCAGAAGAAGCTTGCCAAGCTTCGGTGTCTGGCTTGCTGTGAGCATCCAGTACGTCAATGCCTCACTCACTTCCCCATGAAAAATTGCCCAAATGTTGCAAGCTGTGACAATGACCTTTGCCCTTGCAGATGGTTGAATATTCTTGCTGTCACCGTCTTAAGTTCCACAACTTGCGAGAACTACTCTCTAAGCATAGCGCAGTTGACATCATCAAGGTCCACATGCAAGTGCATGTGCACTCCATCCAGTTGGCCATCCCGCTGAGTCCTCAATGCATCGATGTCAAGATGCTTCCCTTCAAATGCCCCCGCCAGCCTGAACTCCAGGCAGCGCTGTTGAAAGAGCTCCGGACCGTTCTGGAAATCGAGGACTTCCATGGCCTGCGCAAGACAAGGCTCCTGCACCCCAAACCCTAAGCTCCCGCCATCAAAATAAGGTCAACGCAAAGCCTGTGGCTCAGCCAGCAGCGCCGCCGGTGGGAAGCGCCGCGCACTGTAACGGGTTCGGGGCCTTAGCTCGGCTTGGAATCGATCCTCTGTTGCTTGTTCCTGTCTTCAATGACTAGATGTCTCACAATTTGTCGAACCAAGGCCAAGCTTGCACAAACCCAGGTCCCGGCATGACGGTGGCGTCGCCGTTGTGCCCAAGACGATGGATCAGCGTCTCCTCACACATGGTATGTGCTTGGACAAGTCTGCACACATTGCCTGCTCTCCGAATCCGTCATGGACCTATCACGCTGAGGCAAAACGCCGAATTGCCAGCAAGAGGCCAGAGTACTTCGCTCAAGGCTACCGGTGGGCGCAAGCAAAGTGGAGGAAGATCGCCTCGAGTGATGAACTCAGAACTCCCTCGCTCTTTCTCTCCAGCAAGCTAAGCATCCTGGCGGTACCATGATGCAGTCAGACGCCAGCAAACCTGCCAAACACAAGCTGATTGCAAGGCGGGATTTCTTTGCCGGGCTTCACCTCGCTTGCGTATGTCGTCCACTACAAGTGCAGCATCCTCGTTGCCGGCCATATCACCTAGTGGCAATTCACCGCAGCTTCGACAACTGATCGCAAGTGTGCGGATGATGTGCTTGCCTCATGCTAACGTGCGCCAAGAGACCCAAGATCTCGTGCACAAGCATTGTGTAGCCTGCCATCAGAAACATCCCAAGCCGAGTCCTTTGGCTGCTTTCATTGCTGCACCCTACAAATAAACGGAAGCCTCCTGGAAGCTGCAGCTCTGTGGAGACGCCCCGCAGCAGCCGCAGCGAGCTGCCACCCGCAGTGACGCAAATCTCGTCGCCTGGCGCCGGCGAGATGGGAGTGGATTGGCCATGCACCCCAAGTGACTTGGGCCCGAAGGCAGCCAGAATGCTGCACAGTCCGTTTAAACCATCTATTGAACCCACTTCCTTCTGCATGACTGAGCTGACTGAGCATCAAGTTGCACATATCTTATTAGAAGAGCAACTGCACCAGTCTGGCGCAGACTTCTTTTCTTGCGCACATCAAATACAACCAACCACCACCACCACCACCACCACCACCACCACCACCACCACCACCACCACCACCACCACCACCACCACCACCACCACCACCACCACCACCACCCTTCGGGATTGCGCCATGCCCACCCATGCTCCCGCCGTCTTGTAAGGAAGAGACATCCAGCGCCGCCCACTCCGGCAGGAAGCTCGCGCCATTTTGGCCCTGCACCTTCAGTGTGAAAGGTCCAAACCAAGAAGGTGAGTAAGTGCAGTTGGAGTACTCGAGAGTCTACCCAACCTCATCAATGCCTCAATTTCTGGTGTGGAATTCCAGCTGTTGTCCCACTCGGCATGAGTCACTCGGTAGGGATCCTTATCATGGGCGTCTTTAACCACACCTTCATTTCGTGTCAACTTCGAATACTCCGAAACGCGAAATCGTCGACTTTCTGGTCGCGAAACTTCGTTGCTCCAAAGGGAAAGCTCCGAAAGCTCCGAAAGTTCCGAAAGTTCCGAAAGTTCCAAGGGGCGCCATGGCTCACAGCACAGCTCAGCGCACAGCCCGGCGCCTCGCCTCGGCCTCGAAGCACTGCTTGGCGCGCCGCACCGAGGCCTCGGAGCTCTCCACGGCGTCGGCGCTGGCGGCGCCCGCGCGGAGGCAGAGCCGCGCCAGGAAGCACACGGGGCCCGTGCCTGCGTCAGAATCGTCAGATGGGCTCTTTGTTGGATGTGCAAGTTGTGCGAGATTTTGTTTTGGAGCGAAAGTTTGAGTGTATGACTCCACATGAAGCTGTCGAGTGGCCCGAATGGCAGCTTTGGGTCTCACGCCGCATGCCCAGATATGCTCGGTCAAAAGCCAACCCTCTCTGGCTCCCGCTGGCCTATGTCGAGAACCTTGCGGCCTTCAGCAGCATTGCGAATGGCCGCCGCATATGGAGCTACACGTGTCTCATCGCCTATCAGCGCCTCGTGGTCGAAGCGCACCTAGAATCCGCTGACAAAGTGAGGGCGGCCATTTTATGATTTTATGGCCATATATGCATCACATGTGCATCTTGTGCGACGCTGCCGCGGCACAGTGCTCTCTCCACCCAGCGTGCCATCCAAGCCCTCATTGGCCGTCGGCTTTAAGGTTAGACACTTGTTGTCAGCAGACAAGCTGCCCAGCCGAGGCCACTTGCTCCTGGGACTGCGAAGCGGAGTGCAAAAAGCAGCAATGCCTCTCACCGACCCACCAAGTGCCTATCGCCAGGGTGCTCTTAGGCCACACCTTTGCATTGCGGCCATGGCACTGGTGGGTCAGGAAGGAAAGATTCAAACCAGAGCCAAAGCCGCACACGGCCCAAACGTTCTGCTCCAGCATGGATACATTCCTGCGCTAAGACCAAGCTTCAAACGCCTCTTCTCCAGCTTGAGGGCGTTCTACCGTTTGTGCGAATCTGTCCGTTTGTTTCCTGCCTTCCCTTTTCGTCTTGTGCTGTGTCGGGTTTCCTTCGTTCTGTTTTGGCACTCATCCCATCTTTCCACACGCGTTGCACGGGTGCCTCTTGGTCTTGCCCGCCCGGTCGTTCATCTGCGCCAAGGTCTCCAGCTCCTGCAAGCGCGCCTGCAGGCAAAGTACGTTGTGACTTGCCCAGATTCGGAGTGCGGACTTGGCCATTCCACCTCTTCCATGACGTGATGCAAAAGTCCGGGTTGTTTACCACAAATGCAAAACCACCAGACCTTCGCGAAGATGGACACCTGACTCCGAATCGAATCGGACATCGCCTGGAGCTCTTGCTTCGACAGCTTGGCTTCCTTCACCAAGGCGAAGGAGCCCGGCACCGGCTGGAAGCTGCGCTCCTTCGAGCCGTCATGCACCTGGATGACGTCCCCCTCGTAGCCATCCGCCGTCGTCTGCACCACCACTCCAATGTGTCCGCTCTCAACCTGGAGGTCACGTGATTGCAATCCGATTGATCCCAGAACTGCATCCGTGCAACATGGCGCCTCTCAACCGTGGATCACAAAAGGGGCCTGGAGTTTGTACATTGTACCGAAATGTCCTGAGCCTCCCTGCTGCACCGTCCGCAAAGCGGAGAGGCTTGGTGAGTTCCACGTGACGGCCCGCAGCCATTGGCTGCGTGCGTGACAATGAGCTGGGATTCACCTCACCGAACAAAAGCTGGCGACTGTCATGTCACTCGAATTGCTGCTGCGTCACGCTGAGAAAAACTGGGTTGCCGTTGTCCTGGCGCGTCTCAAAGCGAACGAGCAGCTCACCTGCCGGCACAAATCAATGAGCCGTCATAACCTGGACTTGCAATGCTCTACGCTGATGACTGCCTCCAAAAAACCATGCGCTTGCTTGAAAGGCATTCCTCTTGCTTCATCACTTCCGTTGATAGCGTGGTACCATACAACTGTGAAACCAAAAGTGGCCAAGCTATGGCCTGGCAAAACATTCCGGGCAAAAGTGAGCCTGTTGAAAAAATCGTGGCGACCGCGATACTCCCAACATGCTCATGTGTGTGTGTGTGTGTGTGTGTGTGCTTCACCCCCCACAACAGGAAAAGCTTCCAAACAAAGCACTTTAGTCTGAGAGATCCCCCAAGTCATACACTTTGGCCTCCAAAAGCCAAGTTGCCAAGATGTGTCTAAGTAAAGTCTAACGTGACAAAGCGAGCAACTTGTCAGCTGCACGTTTCATAGGCACTCTCCTCTGTCTGTAAGGGCTGACATCACAACTCAATGCATGCCCAAGAGGCCTTTTAGACGCGATTCGTGATTGATCGGATCTCCAAAAACCATGCCTTTGCTGCGCGATCTGTTCTCTAGGCATGCCCCCTGCTGCACCAAATGTACATGATTGTCACCCCTTGTTCTACGACCCTGCTCTAAGCTTGCTTCGCACTGCAAGCTGCCAACATCGCCGTAGCCAACTGCCACGGACTTGCCTTCCGGTGCCTTGGGAGTTCAGAAACAGGAGCATTCTGAGTCAAACAAATCAGCATCTAGATGCTCGTCAGAGCCGCGCCTGCACGACTATGTCAGCCAGGGAGAAGACAGCATCGCCGGGGGCGAAGCCTCCCGGCAAGAGTCCACAGAAGTTGGCGAAATCAGCAGGGAGGCCCTGCATGGGCTGCAGATCTGATGGAAAAACCTCGCGGCTTGAGGGGCGTATCCACAGCACCAACTTGATACATGCATTGGTCAAGTGTCAGAGATAGAAATTTCTCATTCCAAAGCTGTGACTCACAGAGTCAGAGCTTTTCTGACAAGACACACAGACATCACCGGCGTCCACAGCGCCCACGGGCGCTAGGCGGAGCAACACCTGGAGTGGGTCCTCCCGCAGGTCCCGCACGACGCCAGGCTGCCCCGCTCGCATCACCCGTTTGCTCCTGGAATTGGGACGTCACCCTTTCAGGCTTGAGATGAGTCATGAATTCGTTGAAATCATGTTTGGAATCCTGCATGCTGCTGCATGCTGCTGCATGCTCATTCACGTTGACATATGCTTCATATTTCATAATAATTGCAGCGCCTGAACTGAATCTCCCGCGACAACTGCATCCATTGCCCTTGCCGGAACTCAGGCGCTTCCGTCGTCAGCTGCTCGCCCGACACCTTGAAGCGACGCAAACACGCCGTGGCCATCCTCCTGGCCCTGGCCCACGCCCAAAGCGCATATCTGGACAAGGGGCTGCCACCTTTGGACTGCCGAACGCAACCTCTGCGAAGTGCACCAAATACTGACCCTCGCAGTCAGATTGCGCTCAAAACACGTGCTTGTTGCTTTCAGTCTAGCCTTCTCGAGAATCTCCGTGATTTCGCCTCTGGCACCCCAGCGGACCACCACCTTGCTACTGATACCATCGTTGACCTGATGCCGCGGCCTCACTTGCCCTTGGTGTCTGTGAAATGCTCCTGGTGTCTGATTCTATCCAGGTACCGTTAGGTTCTCGATGGGGAATACCTCCGCACCCACCACAAGGCCTCACAGATTTGATTTGCCAAAAACACTCTATCCTTCCAACAAGCGAGGCATAATATGCTCCGCAATACGCTGTTGCCAGGACTTAGTTCCCCCCCAGCTCCAGCGGCCTTCCTTTGGCATGGCCCCCAATCCATGCTAAGTCGGGACTCCCTCTGTGTGTGCACGTGCGAGTGGGTGGTTGGCTGGTTGGCTAGTGGGTTGGTGGGTTGGGAGGTTGGTGAGCAAGTGCATGGGTGGGTGGGTGTATGGGCGTGGGGTATGGTTCTGTGTATGGGTGAGTGGATGTGAATGCATGATCTGTCTTTTATGCCTACAGTTGAACCGGCTAACATATTCCGCGCCCTCAAAGAAATGCGAAAAATGTGAGAAATGCCAGCAGTGTGCGGAAGGCGGCCGGCAGGAACACTCAGATCTCTCCATGTCCAAGCACTACAGCATCCTTCCTCTTCCATCTCTCACTCTCCATGCACTGCAAATGAGTTGTTCGCGTTATCGGAAGAATCGGGCTACCCCTGATTCTAGTTCTGAGCGCCTCAGATTTCCATGGTCTTGGCAAGCTTGGGGAAGTGATGCTGAAAGACCAGGCCCTGATTCAGCTCGATCCCTGGCAAGAAAGCCGAAGTCTTGCCACGATGTAATGGACATGAAAGCTCTAAGTGAGCGCAGCCCACCTTTCCTCAGCTCATAGCCAAGCCTTGGCGACGCCAAGTTGAGTTCTTTCATTGAGCGGTCGCAAGAGTGCCTGGGGATCCTGCGTGGTGTACGGGTTCTTTTGGGGGTCCCCCGGGGGGGGTGGTGTCACCTGCGACGCGAAGTTACGCCTCGGCACAGGCGGTGAAGTTGTGAATTCTGCTTGCCCACACTGAGGAGGTCGGCCCGTAGCACTGTGTGGTGTGGTCATCGCCCGCAATCGAATGAAACCTGAAGGGCTGTCATTCCAAGACTCCGTACGAGGCACGCCCGTTGCACCCATTTCACCAAGCAAGGCGCATGAACTCCGTGTTCATGCGGAAGACACTGAAATATGGCAAACCAGTCCTGCATTCGATGCGGCGTTCAACTGCATTCATGTAGGATAGCCACTCATCATCGAGCTTTGATCTGCGGTGCGAACCGACCGAGAAAAAGAAGAAAAAAAACGCTTCCTGCGTGCCTTTTTGTCTGCAAAAGCAAAACTTTGGCAATTATCTCTTGCTATATTAAGGAACCTGTATGAGCAGGCTGCAAAAGCTGGTTTGAGGAGCTGGCTAAATTCAGTAGCTTGGATTGCACAGCTCCGCAAGCTCCTGCTGCTTGCTAGCGCATTGGCGCAGGGTCTCTTGCAGGAAACCATAATGTCATTGGTGGTCCTTTGCCCCAGCGAGGCATTTCCGAGAATCAAACAAAAAACAAGAACTTCGCTGCCTGGCTGCTCATCTCGACTGGCGATCTGGTTCAACGCCAGCTGGGCGCAGGGATCATGCAAGTCATGCTTCGAATTCCTGCTGGCCAAGCTGAAAAGTTGCCGATTCAAATTGCGCACACGCCGAACAAGCAAAAATCTACGTTGGAAGGGCCCGGTCACACCCAGGCCAAGTCCATTCCGGCATGTCCACTCGCCAGCAGTCACCATCCAGGCCTTTGGCCTTTCCGGGTGATTCCAAAGTTGGGAGGTGTCAGCCAACATGGTCAGCACAGAGGTCGTGCACTGTCACAGCCCAGTCTGTGCGCCACAAACCGAGGCAAGATCAATGTAGAATTTGCTTACAGCCTATATCAAGCCATCGTCTGCGCAGACCAAGGAGTCGGCTAACGCCTCAGGAATTCCTACAAGGCTACAGCTTCCGAGTGGTGTTCGGGCTGTCGCCGTCACCAGTCGAAACTCTGTGCCCAGGCTCTACACGCAGCGCTTGAGCTTCTGAGAGGGTGAAGGGGTCTAGCTAGTTTGAGACAAAACACTCCGCCGCAGGCCGACATCGAAGCGTGGGCGGTACCTGTCCCTTAGAGACACTTGAAACTTGCAACGTGGCTCACCGGACCTGCCACAAAGCAAAGAAAGTTGGAAACACTGGGAACATGCGACAAGACTGGGTGAGTCTAAGTGTCAGCACTTCTACGGTGCATCGCCACTCGCGCCTGCACTGCGCTGTGCTTTCAGGGCCGACCAGAGGCCGCCTTCAGGAAAGCCAAGCAAGATGCCAGAGGACACAAAATGCCATGCAAAGCTCCAAGCAGAATGCACTTGCAAGGCTGCAAGAAACGAGTGCCGTGGCCTTCGTTGCAACTGAAAGGGGCTTGTCGCGGCAGCCTGACCAGGCAATTTGTGATGGGTCTATTCTTCTCAAAGAACTGAGCCCATCAAGCCAAGCCAAGACAGCCTAAGTCCCAACCAGGCTCACCTCACCAACTAAAGCTAAACTCCTGTTCCCATAGTAAGTGTTGCCCGCATGAAAAAAAAGACGGCGCCATTCATTTAAGCAGCATAGGCGCCGCAGCAGCCGCTGCCGCTGCCGCTCGCCCTTGGCTCTCGCAGGTGCACCGTCAAGGATCTGGACCATCTTCAAACTTGTGAGGAAGCCCAACCGGATCCGCTGAGGTGAGGCATCAGATGCGATATTCGCCACGCCTCTTCCACCTCACGGCGCTGCGCCTCGAGCTCTAGTGCAACGTGACCTGAGATGTGCCCCCCTCTCCCAAAGCAGAGTCACTCCGGATGGACTCGCTCATTTGTGGCAGAGAAGGCTTGAAGGGGCGACTCCGGGACTCCCGGTGCCTAGTGCGTGCCTCTCGACCGAGTAGCGCTTCGCCTCCTCCTCAAGAATACGCTGGCGCTCTGCCTCCATGGCAGCCAGACGACGCTGCTCCTCCTTGCAACATGACGTGTGCCAATGTCAAGAGCTGCAGGGCCGTGGGAACATAAGGCCGTAAGCAAAGTAAGCCATAAGAAGCCATAAGAAGCTATAAGAAGTTCCAAAGAACGAGATCGCCTTGAGAAACTCATCCCAAGCACCCGCCTCCAGCTCTCGCTGCCTGCGCTGTGCCTCTTGGGCAAGGCGGCGTGTCTCCTCCTCCACCTGAAAGAGCCATTCGTCAAACGTCAGCTGTGCTCAGGGCAAATGAGCGCTGGACCCCTGCAGCTTTGGTTGTTGCACTCTGGGCAGCCCGGCTCTCTGTTGGATCCTCTCCGCCACCTCCTCTTCAATGCGCAAGGCCTGCTCCTCCTGTGGGAAACCGGATGCTTCTCTGACATGCGCTTCTCCAAATTCTGTCAATGTGCTTTTTCTCCTGACGGCGCTTCTGCTCCGCCTCCTCCTCTGCGCGGCGGCGCGCGTCCTCCTCCTGGCAAAAGCTACTGCCAGATGCAGCTTGCTACTTCTCTCTCGATAGAAACACTGGAATGAAACTAATACGAAACCAAAAGCAAACAACGAAGGACTTGAGAACCCTTTTGCCATGTCTACCTGAAAGCGCCCGCACCCCCGTCTCCTGCTGTTGGCGATGCTCGGCCTCAGCCTCTCGTAATCGCTGCACAGCCTCGTCCTAAGTGGCGCTACCATGAAGCCCATACGATTGGGATCCGGACACTGGGAGACACTGAGAGACTGGGAAGCCCATGGACCATGGGGCAGCGGCATACTCCCGCTTCTTCTGGAGCACCTCCTCTTCGAAGCGCTTGGCTGCTTCCTCCTGCTGCCGCCTCTGTTCGGCCGCCTCTTCCAGGCGCTGGCGCAGCTCTTCCACCTGCCAGCATCACGGCACCGGCCAATCGATCAATCCGATTCGCAGGTCTCTCTCTCTCTCTCTCTCTTCCACGCCTGCGATTGCCTCTCTTCTTCCTGCTGAGCCTGCTGCCAAAGTGTGACTTGTGCCTGGGTGCACAAGCAAGCTGCACACACAAGAGACCTGACGCCGGGCCTTCCAGTCGGGTGAGCCAGGATTGATCCTGGGCGAACAGCCAGATTGAAGGCAGATCCATACGCTTGTCCGCAAAGGATCTGACCTGTGAGCATCCACATAGCGCTGAACCTGCCAAGAGGAGTCATCAAGGAGTCTGCGAGACAGACGCTCGAGAAAGCAGACTCACGGGTAGTTCATGCCAAACGGCCTGCTCCAGTCGCCGCTCGTACTCCTCCGTTGTCACTTCTGGAGACCTCGCGGCAGGCCCCATGCGTGGAGGCAACTTGAAGACCCCTGTTGTGCCAAGCAGCGGTGACAGCGGGGACCACGTTGGCTCCTGGCAGTGGCAGGATACGCCGAAGAAAGTTCAAGGCAGACCTCAGTGAGGCCCGCATGTCCATACCCATTACATGCCTCGTCCAGCGGCGCGGGCTTCGGGCCTTCAGGAAACGACAAAAGCCGATCTTAGTTCAGCATAGTTCAGTTAGGATGCTGTTTGTCGTGCTTGCGTTACGATTGTCTCGCGTCAGCATGTCCACCTCCCAGACTTTCGCGCTAGCTGATAGCTATGACTGCGGCGAGCCAGCGACTGAAGGTTCTGGCGCAACGGGAGCCCTTAGTTGCACAGCCCCCTGACAACCCATGGACCCGGCCCCCACCACCAAAGTCGACAAAGCCGACAAAACAGAGTCTCTCGCCGAAACTGCACTGCAAGTTGATGCTACCATCAAGCCGTTCGTCCCTTCCCCCATTGCCGAACATGCAGCGGAACTCTGCTGAGCGGTTGGGGGACTCAGGTGCTGCGTCGGCCTCTGGTGCGGGTGACGCCTGGGCGAGCACATGGCTTTGAAACACGCCCCAAGGCACCATGGGCCTCACCCACATCCTTCCCTGCCTCACTGGCGGCACTGGCATCTTCTATGTTTGGCTCGTGGGTGGAAGAATCCTCCAGTGCAAACAACAAATCGCAATGCATACACACCCCCTTGCGCTGGCAAGGCAGGTCCAACTAGTGCGTATCCACAAACCTTGTCTTGCTTTTTGTTGGAATTGGAGATCTGCAGCCATCCCGTGTTGTTGGAATAGTCTCAACCCTCTCCCGGCTATGACTCTGTGCCGCCTCGTCCTTCCCGCTGTCTGGTGCTGGAAGCGGGCCCAAGCCCTGGCAAGAAAAGAATCCAACACCTTCCGCAAGTTGCCCGACCTCCAGATTGTCTAGATCTTTCCATGCACCAGCCACATCCTCGGTCGACCAATCGAGGCATGCCAAGAACAGCAGGAAATGTGCCCGGACAACTGCTGCGTGCATCTAAGCAACGCGATGAGGCACCTCAGAATGAGACCAGGTGGTTCGATGAGGTTGAGAAACATGCGAAGTGATACGACCAAAGACGCTGTCGAGATCTGCCAGGCCGCCACTTTGAAGGAAAAGGTCCGGCCTGGCACGTCCCAAACAGTCAGCGAACTTGACACAGAGTCCAGCAAGTACGCCCTGTTGGCCATGTTCTCCACATTTTCCCCGACCATGCATCTCTGACTCAGAGTCGGAGCTTTCTGGTGAACTGTGGCTCCTTGCATGACCTTCAACTCAGGCTGCAAATTAATTGTGCATTCAAGTGGATCACGCGCGAAGATTCAGCAGCTCCATGGTGCCTTTGCAGAAGGGACAAACCGGGATGTCGGCTATGATGATCCGGGCAATGCAGCGACGGCATACGGGCCGTCCGCAACACTGCGGTGGCAGCAAAGCACCATTAGCATTTCTGCACATGGAGCAAATGGGGCTTGTGGAATCGATCGTTGCAACCTGGCTGCTTGAAGCTTGCTGCACGAAAGGTGGCTCTTGGGCTGCAACGTTGCTTGCGGCTTGCTGCACGGGACATGCAGGTGGAGACTGGATGGCCTGCTCTTGGGCTGGGGCGTTGGCCGCTGCGGCTTGGCGGCCTCTTTTCAACCAACGGTAGGCGTGCTCGAATAAACCCAATCCAGCTGCTGGGCTTGTGGCAATATTCCAAGCTGCGCCTGCGACTGCGCCTGCGACGGATCCTCCCCTCAGATAGGCACACAAGATCTGTATGGCAGCCTGGCAAGGCATTCGTGCATTTGCTGGTGCCAGCCTGGTCAACTGACGCATCCAGGGCTCCAGAGCGCTTGCTGTGCCAGCGACCAGGCTTGAACTAGAGCCCGGCAGCTCTGACTCTGATAGCTTTCCATCGCCATCAACATCGAGCTTGGCAATGAGGCTGTTCAGCTCTGACTCCGATACAAGCCCGTCTCCATCCGTATCAGCGAGCTTCATCAGTTCCGAGCGCTGACTCTCACTGAGATGCTGGCAGAAGTTGCTCAGAGCTTTGTGCCACTCGCCTTCATCAAGTGCACCATTGTTGTCTCCGTCCCCCAACTTCATCATGCTGCTTGAGAGCTTTTGCCGCGCCAAGCTCGAGGCCTCAGCAAGTTCGGCAGATGACACTTTGCCATCTCCGTTTGTGTCCAGTCGGCGGTACCACTCCTTGCACTCTTCCTCACTCACAATGCCATCGCCATCGGAATCGAACGTGGAGAAGAATTGCCTCAGTTGCTCCTGGTCCCATTTGCTGTCTGCGAGCCCTGGCCAAGCGGTGCCGATGCGGAAAGATGTTGCCATCTCTGCTTCTGACAGTTGGCCATCACCATCTGTGTCCGCACGCTTGAAGACCTCATCTTCTGACGCCGCCGACCAGCTGCCCACGGGAGTGAGGTGCTTCTTGAATTCGCTGGCGTTGATCTTGCCATCCCCATCCTTGTCGGCTGCTGCGCACATGAGCTTTGCTACTGCCCTTTCCGAAGTTGGTGCTCCCATGCTGCACTGGAAGGAGGGGTGGCAATGTGTCTGTTGAGCCTCAAACTGTGGCGAACCATGCTCAACGACTCAACGACTCAACGACTCAACGACTCAACGACTCAACGACTCAACGACTCAACGACTCAACGACTCAACGACTCAACGACTCAACGACTCAACGACTCAACGACTCAACGACTCAACGACTCAACGACTCAACTGATCAAACGACTCAACGACTCAACGACTCAACGACTCAACGACAACGACTCAACGACTCAACGACTCAACGACTCAACGACGACTCAACGACTCAACGACTCAACGACTCAACGACTCAACGACTCAACGACTCAACGACTCAACGACTCATCGAACTCAACGACTCAAACGACTTAAAGACGCACACGACTCAACGACTCAAAATAAAAAAAAAAACGACTCAACGACTCAACGACTCAACGACTCAACGACTCAACGACTCAACGACTCAACGGATCTGACAGGACTATAGGGGCGGAAACGGAGCAAACCTCAACGACTCAAACGACTCATCGATCAACGATTAACGACTCAAAACGACTCAAAATACTCAACGATCAACGACTCAACGACTCAACGACTCAACGACTCAACGACTCAACGGATCAACGGGACTCATCCGAACTCAAACGAATCAACGACTCAAGACTCAACGACCTCAACGGACTCCAACGAATCATCGACCTCAACGACCTCACGACTCTACGACTCAACGACTCAAACGACTCAAAGACTCAACGACTCAAACGACTCAACGACTCAACGACTCAACGGACTCAACACTCAAACGACTCAAACGACTCAACGGACTCAAACGACTCAACGACTCAACGATCAACGACTCAACGATCAACGATCAACGAATCAACGACTCAACGATTCAACGACTCAACGACTCAAACGGATCAACGACTCACGACTTCAACGATCAACGACTCAACGAACCCCCTCAACGCTCACGACTCAAGACCTCATCGACTCAACGGACTCAACGACTCAACGGACTCGACGCTCACGACTCAACGACTCAACGGGAACTCAACGATCAACGATCTCCGTCTAACGACTCAACGATCAACGACTAACGACGCAACGACTCAATCGACTCAACGATCAACGACCTCAACGGACTCAACGACTCAACGACCAAACGAGCTCACGACTCAACGACTTCACGACTCCACGACTCAACGACTCAACGACTCAACGACTAACGACTCAACGACCAACGACTCAACGACTCAAACGGACTCAACGATCAACGACTCAACGACTCACACGAATCAACGGATCAACGACTCAAACGACTCAAGCTCTAACGACTCAAACGACCTCATCGACTCAACGGACTCAACGACTCAACGACTCAACGACTCAACGACTCAACGCTCAAGACTCAACGACTAACGACTCAACGACTCAACGGACTCAACGATTCTCAACGAATCAACGACTCAACGACTCATACGACTCAACGACTCAACGACTAAACGACCTAAACGGACTCAAAACGACTCAACGACTCAAAGACTCAAACGACTCAACGACTCAACGAGCTCAACGACTCAACGACTCAACGATCAACGGACTCAACGGACTTCAAAACGACTCAACGACTCAACGACTCAACGACTCAACGACTCAACGACTCAACGACTCATACGGACTCAACGACTCAAATCGATCAACGACCTCAACGACTCAACGGACTCAACGACTCACGGGGACTCGACGACTCGGACGATCGACGACTCAAGACTCAACGACTCAACGGATCAACGACTCACGACTCAACGACTAACGACTCAACGCATCAACGGACTCAACGACTCAACGACTCAACGACTCAACGACTCAAACGATCAACGGACTCAACGACTGAGGAATCAAAGGGACTCAAAAGACTTCAAAGATCAACGATCAACCGGGGGGGAAAAAAAAATTCAACTACTCAAACGACTCAACGTCTCAACGACTCACGGGACTCAAGACTCAAGGACTCAACAGACTCAACGACTCAACGACTTCAACGACTCAACGGACTCAACGACTCAACGACTCAACGACTCAACGACTCAACGATCAACGACTCAACGACTCAACGATCAACGACTGCAACGGATTCAACGACTCAACGACTCAACGACCCCCGAAACGACTCAACGACTCAACGACAACGACTCAACGACTCAACGACTCAACGACTCAACGACTCAACGACTCAACGACTCAACGACTCAACGACTCAACGACTCAACGACTCAACGACTCAACGACTCAACGACTCAACGACTCAACGTCTCAACGACTCAACGACTCAACGACTCAACGACTCAACGACTCAACGACTCAACGACTCAACGACTCAACGACTCAACGACTCAACGACTCAACGACTCAACGACTCAACGACTCAACGACTCAACGACTCAACGACTCAACGACTCAACGACTCAACGACTCAACGACTCAACGACTCAACGACTCAACGACTCAACGACTCAACGACTCAACGACTCAACGACTCAACGACTCAACGACTCAACGACTCAACGACTCAACGACTCAACGACTCAACGACTCTGTGTTTTGGGGCAACACACTTAAACTCCAAAGGCACCTCCTGCGGAAGGCACTGGTTCCTCCGCTCCCACAGCCCACCTCTGCCATCCGTTGCGCGTATCATGCTGGCCCTCACGTCTGCGCCAAGGCGCTGCGCTTTAGAGCGGCGTTGCTTCGGTAGGATGCTGTCTACGTGGATCGTCTCGCAGATTTCCTCATACTCCTGAGACTCTGGGCACGGCATGCTCAAAGATCTTGGAATGCGCAAATGCAAAGCCCCTGGCATTGCAGCAGATCTGTTCCCGTCCACAGCGGACAGGAACGACCGATGCCTTTATCGCTGTTCCTGCAGCACCAATAAGAAGAGCGCAACACCCTGAACACCCAGTAGAGTGAACCAACGTGAGCGAAACAGAGGCCTGCTGAGCGACACCACCACGCCATGGGCTGCAGGAAAATTTGAGCCGTCAGCTACCCCATTCACGACATGCACCATACACAACATACACAAACTCTACGCAAACAAACCTCATGCCCCCTATGAGCTCCAACTACTTGGCATCCTGAGGCCACACTCCATGCCATAGAGGCCCTCAGCCTGGGCAAACACGGAAGCCGCGGAATGCGAGACAAGCCGAACAAAAGCTGACTGACGGACGTTGGTAAAAGGCGGCATTGGGCTCATTGCCATACGCCTGGTTCAATGAGGGATCATTGGGCCAGCTCCCAATGATAACGTCTCTCGAAGGCTCGCCTCTTGGATGCGTCGTCCAGGTTAGCAGCCATGCCGACTTCACCCCAGGCACCCCACCTGAGCCATTCACATTCGGAACATGCTGAAAACAGGGCGGTTCAGCTTCGTCTTGGGATGTAAGCCCAGCACTGCGGCGCCATGCAGGGCTTTCCCAGCCTCAGCTTGGCAGCAGCATGCCAAGGCAGACAAGCACCTGTGCCACCCGCAAAGAGGCATAGCGCCGGGCGCATTGCGATGCCGTGAAAGTCCGTCCAACCAGGCATTGGAGGACGAGTAGTTGAGCTGGCCCATGTTGCCATAGACCTTGGGCATCTTTGGCATTCTGCCACAGAGTCTCAAGGCTGCCTATCAACCAGTGCCCTGAAGGGCACGTTCTGCCTCACAAGATTTGAGCTGTCGGCAGAAGTTGATGAGAAGAGCCACAGAAACTTTAGCTTCGGGTTCTCCAGCTTTTCCAGCCTCAGGAAAAGAGGCGGTGGTGGAAAGCTCTTCTCCTCGGAATCTTTCAGGAACATGCCATGAGCCACACAAGTGTGATAACCGCTAGTACGCTCTGTGGGCCGGGCGCAGCATGCAGGAAGGCCGCAGCGCGACTCTTGGACTCGTAGACCGCATCAAACTTCTCCCAAGTTTGATTGATGAGCATGGCGTCCTACAGGGGAAAACAAAAAAAAGGTCTGCGTCTCCAGATCGGCCCGCATGTTAAATGCGCAGTTCTATGCGTGGCAGTCCTGCAGAATACCAGCAGAATGGATGAATCCTGACAGACATTGCTGACTTGTTAGCACCGACCAACCTTGCACAGCGAACTCTGATCAAAACCAGCTGGGTCTCCTTTGGATTGGGTTTTCCAGGATCCCTACACCCCTAGGAGTCTTTGGTTCATTTACGTCAGGGCTCAGCTTCCCCCCGGCTGGCAGGGCGGGCGCAAGGCTCCTGTGAGGTTGGGAGTGGCGCTCTCGATGAAGGCCTCCACCGACTCCTGCTTGCCCACGTCGCACTTCGCCTGTTCCACGTGGATGCCCAGCGACTCCGCCAGCGCCTGGATCTCCTGGCACCGACTGCTCTGACGCAGTGGCTGGATTGGGCGCTTGGCCTGCCAGTTCGGCATGTTCTGATCGCTGATCTTCATGGACCTGTGGTCACAGACTCTTCATTTTTCTGGAGCCCTCAGACTCCGCCTGGAGAGGAACTTGATGCTGAACTTCTTGCCACCTTGCTTCTGTGCCTGACATTGCCACCAATTGACAGCCTTCCGCCCACATCGCTTGGCTCAGCTCTGGAAGTTGGGGAGCCCGCCGTTTGCAACAGCCAGAGTCCCATCACCAGCCCCAGGGCGCCGTTGCCGCCAGAGATGCCAATAACACCATCCTGGCGTGAGGGCGATTGCATGCAAATACAATTGGAAGGCAGTTTAGCAGCAAGCAGCAAATTGCCAGGATACTGGATACTCTTCTGACCAGTCGTGCTGGGCAGGCATTCACAACATGCTTTGCACTCAATCATGTGAGAAGTTGAGTGAATCGTGTCCTGAGTAAACAACATGTTGACTGAACCTGCCGCACGTGGCCTTTTTTGGCTTCCATTGCCCCCACCCCCAGTCGCCGAGCGCCTCCGGCAGCTGCCATTCAGGATGCCTCATGTACGGTCTGGACGACATCTGCCGCAGCCTAGGGAAGGCGCCGTCTGAGGTGTGCTTGTCACTTGTCACAGCTTGTCCGCCCCAAACGCCACAAGTCCCCGGCACATAGCGACCCTTGTTGAGGAGCCGCACAGAGTTATGGCCTGCAAGGCCGACTCTCTCTGTGACACGGTCACTGACAGATTCCCAGCTCAGAGTCAACCCCTCAACAACCAATGACTGCCTGCATCCCTCACTGGATGTCGATCCCTCTTCTGCCCATCTGAAGTGTCAAAAGCTAGGCGCCCTACCAAAGGAGGGATGACGGAAAATCTCCGCCGCCAGGTATGGGATCCTCTCCGCCCTATCACAGCGTGAGCGAGTTGGCGCTCGCACTCCCTGGCCTGGCCTCAATGCCCACTCGGTGTCTATGTACTGAATGGGGCCTGCGGCTCGAGTCAGACAAGTCCAGAGGGCAAGCTCCCGGTTTCACACGGCTCGTGTCTGGGCGCCATGCACGGCACTTCGTACCTGGCACAGCTTGGTCTTGCACCGGGCACTCGCAACATGCGCCTGGCCTGGCCGTGTTGCAAGCGCCGAAGAGGTTGGCATTGGTGATGAGACCCAGACCAACCTCCTCACAAATGCTCAAGGTACCCCAGTGGCTGTAACTTCGCCAGAGAGCATGAAAACTGTTCTCCTCAAGGCATTTTATTTCAATTCGAATTGAGATCCAGAAATAGGCACCCACTCAACAGAGCAGATGCGAGATGCAGGGGCAAGCAAAATTCCGCTTCCATCTCCTCATGGATCTCTCGTTCCTCTGCAAAGATGTCGGCTGTGAGCACACACAGCCTGCAGCGGACTAACTTAAATTGAGATCGTAATAAGCTCTCAAAGAATCGCTAAAATCTTGGCTCAAAGACTCAGGGTGCATCCCAGGCACCGCTTACATCTGGAGCCATCGTCCGCAAGCTTTTTGAGGATTGTCAAGAAGACCCTGGCGATGGAAAAACGATAGCAGACGAGCAAACTTACAAAATGCGTGGTACTGATGTTTGTTCTCAGGAGCCAATTCAGCTGCTGGCAGGCCACAGTGACCGCTTACAGGGAAAACATGACAGCGTGGCTTCATCACAGCATCCTGATGGCAGGTATGACATTGCACTGCTTCCCTGAGACTGTTGTCTGGAATGACAGGGAGCTTATCCAAATTGGTGCAGGGGACGCAAAAGAATCACGACAATGACTACAACGAGGCATGTGAAGATCTCCATGCAGTCGATAGCACCCGCAGCTCCAGCAGCACTAGCATACGAATCGAAACAATCACATTCGTGTGGACAAAATTATGAGAGGGAACACCTGTGCTCAGTTGATGTTGCCTCACTAAACCATGAACAAGATTGTATCATGTTGGAAAGAAAAGCAATGTCAGATGCAAAAGTCGATACTGAAATCTTGTGAAGAGTTGCCTGCTGCTTGTGCACATCTTTCAGCTCATTGCTGGCTGGCAAGTCAATGCCCAGCGCCTCAGTCGGCTCGCCTACGCTCCCGGCTCTCAGAGAAAATTCGGCTGGAGCCCCGGACAAAGATGATGAGATCCCAGGAGCTGCCGCTCACGAGCTTCAGCACCTGCCCCGCTTCTGGGTCGACCGGGATCACCAAAATCGCGCACGCTTCGAAATGTAGTTGTGTCCATAGATTCGTCTCCAGAATCTCCAAACAAACTCGGATTTTGGCAACAGGTAAGCTGCAAGCACGACTTACTTCCTCTGTTGAAGTGAAAAGTTGCCACTTCAAAGGTCAGTGCCCAGGCAAAGAGCGGTTTACATCTAGATCACTCTGCTCTTTGATTCCCCCTACTTGCCATTGGCGCACCATCATGCGCTCGACCTTGCCTCCTGATCCGTGTACTTTTCTGCAGGCTTGGTCTGCACCTGATTTCTGCCACATCTCATGAGTTCCTCTGACTTGGCGAGTGCAGGGGGCTTCGCGTCTGCTTCCCCTCTCACGCTCTCAGCCCCCGGCGCTCTTGCTGCCGATGCGCCCGGGCGGCGCCTGGCTCTCCACCGTTATTGACACGTTCCGATCGGATCCGATCGGATGGCCTGAGACAGGATGTCCTTGCAGTACCCGTAGCTGTCGGAGAAGACCAGGACCTCGGCGAGAACGCGATGCGGCAATGCGGCAAAGGGGCAATGCGGCAGTGGTAGGTGCTGGTAGGCGCAATGGAAAATTCTCAACGAGGGTCTTGGCACATCTTGGCACCACACATCTTCCGTCTGTATCTGCGAGTTGTCCACAGGTGGCCACTGGCCTCCATCCTGGTGCATTTTTAGGGGGGGACTCACGTGTGCCTCATCCGAATCGGCTTTCGATCGTGATTATCCGAGGGCCAGACAAGGCAGCTCAAGGGATTGGCTGCAGACCTTGGCTGATCAACAAGTCCTGCTAATGCCAGGAGGGCTGCGAGTTGCAAGATCTGAACACCCGTCCCACACTCAACTTTGGTGTCATCCTAGCAATCTGTGATGCCAAGGCACTGCAGATTGAAGTAAATACTGGTGCCTGCCGAGTTCTCCAGGGGCAAATGTTCTGGGAACCACTCAACCGGCCAGCACCTGAAGGCACAAATGTTTTCAGAGATTCGCTTGAATGGCGTCTCTCACGCAGGCATTCTGCACCGAAGCTAGACTTTTCATAGCACTGCGGAGGCGCTCTCCTCCCTTGTGAAACAGTGAAAGGCACAGGCCGATCAAATCATTGGCATTGGGGCGCAACCCCTCTCAATAGGGGCCCTTGCCCTTGCCATAGTAGGGTAGCGCTGGCGCCGCCCCATAGCCACCTTTGCCACCACCGCCAAAACTGCCTTTGCTGCCACCAAAGCTGCCGTAGCTGGCACCGCCGCCGTAGCTGGCGCCACCGCCGCCGTAGCTGGCGCCACCGCCTTTGCAGCCGCCACCACCATAGCCACTGCAGGCGCCGCCGCCGGCGTAGGCACCGCAGCCGCCGCCATAGCTGGCGCCACCGCCTTTACAGCCACCCCCGGCATAGCCGCTGCAGCCGCCACCGCCATAGCCACCGCCGCCATAGCCTCCACCAAATCCACACCCCCCGTAACCGTTGAAGCCCTTGCCAAAGCCGCCAAAGCCGCCGCAGCCACCGTAGCCGCCGCACCCGCCAAAGCCGCCCTTGCTGAAGCCCTTGCCTTTGCCATCTTTGCCCTTGGCCACAATGGGCTTGCAATCAATCCACTTGCCGTCAAGCATGTTGTTGTCGTAGTTATCAAGGACTCCTTTGGCAGACGAAGGATCTTCGAAGGTCACAAAGGCAAAACCCTTGCACTGACCATCCTCCGCAATCTTCACCACGCACTCCTGGACTGCGCCGAATTGCGCCATGAGGGCTGTCACGGATTCCTCTGTTGCGCTCTTCGGCAGCGCGCCAATGAATATCTTGGGATTGTTGGGATCCACGGCACTCTTGCCCTTGCCGGCCGGGGGCGCAGAGCCTGGTGGCTGGGCCATCTTGCAATCTATCCACTTGCCGTCCATGGTGTTGTCCTTGTTCGCCACCACGGACTGGGCCACGGAGGCATCCTGGAAGGTCACGAAGCCAAATCCTCGGGAGACGCCCATGGGGTCCACCTTCACCTCCACATGGGCCACGGGCCCGAACTGCTCCGCCCACGCCTGTAGCGCCTCCTGAGAGCAGCTCTTTGGGAGGCCCCCCGCGAAAATCTTCGCGTCGTCGCTCATCGTGGCGAGTCGCGAGTCGCGAGTGGCGGCCTAGCACGCCTCTGGCACTTCCGAGCCACGGAGACACGCAAGACAGATGAATCAAAGAACATGAAGCAAGAGCACGTTGCGGCCTCATGAAAGGATGCTTAGCTCCCAGCGTGTTGCCAGCATGCTTCGCCGCGGTAGCCTCCATAAGCCTAGTGGCTTTTGCCCGAGGATCCCACAGCCCCCGGTGAATTGAAAGTTGGGGCCCATCCACGGCCCATCCGGGGCCCGAGCTTTGTGTAGGCAGACTTGATGTTCCCCTCATGCTGCTGCCCAAGCATCGTCAGGGCCTCGAACTCTGCACAAGCAGACAAAGAGAGCTCAAAAGAGTAACAGAAAAGTGAAGTGCTGAATTGGAGTGACGGAGATTGCAGGCCGATCAGCGTTCTCAAACATATCGAAGGACATCAAAGCATGAAAGAGAAGATTGGTGAAGGTCTTTGACCGAGCTCAGGTGCTGTTTGCTCTTTGTGGCCCGGGCCGCCATCGCCATGGTTGACCACGGATGGTCCCATGCGCGGTCCAGCCCTCCCGATCTGGAGCCCAAGAATGGCATGCCTCGTGATTGGAACCCTCCACTTTGACATGTCGCAGATCAACTTCCCAACTAGTCTTCACTGTTGAAAGAAAGCCAGTATGCATGCCCACTTCAAAACAGGAGACAGGAATAGTACTGACCCCTACCCAAGCAAGCCCAGGGCAGTGTTAAGCCGCACCAACTACTTTTAACGCTAATGTAAACATATCTACGGAAAATTCTAGACCCTGACCTCAAGCCGATCATTTCGCACAATTCTGGTGGATGCTGCTGACTGATGTCCACGGATTGTCTGATCCTTCACGAAGCAGAAATTCACATAGTAGCAGCCACCAGATCCAAATCTGCAAGCCATCAGTGGCTGTTTGCAAGAAGCTGGACAGTCTGAGCAACACCATGTTCTCCGAGTGGCTCCCAATTTGATCAATACCCGTCAACAAATCTTGCCATGAGATATTTTTGAGACAGCTGGCACATAACAAAGCGTTGCTCGTCAAAAACTAAGAGTGCACGGCGAGGTCTTGCAATCTCCGAATGGGCTAAAGAAAATTACAGCCAGTTCTGGAGAGCGCGAACGCTCACAAAGCGCCTCAGTGCTTTCCTTGAGATCCGTTGGACCTGAGATTTGCACTATCAACACTCGCTACTAACAAAAGAAAGCCATGTTATTGTTAACCTCACCAGTGACTGGTCAGGACCCAAATCTAGCGATTCTGGGTTCTTCGTTTGCTGGTTCTCCAACTAAGGCTTCTGGCAGCACGCCCTTCTCGCCAGAGAGACACCTGCTTTGGAGCAACAGGATTCGCCATGTATGAAAAGCGCGAGCCTTTCCGCGCAGCTGAACACATTGTCGACATTGAAGCCAAACTTGTCCAGGCCTGGTAAGGTCACAAGTCGCAACATGCCAAGCTTCCTTTCGCCCAACCACATCAAATCCCATGCGGACATGTGGCAGGTGCCGCCCGGTGCAGAGGCGCCAAAGACGTCGATGCCCACGAAGGCGTCCGCCTGCAAATCTGGAGACGGCAAAGTGATAGATTCCAGAGCCAGCCCTTCAAGCCCATTCCAAATTCTCACGATGACAATAAGGGTAAGGCATTTCCTTACGTTGGCTGAGGTCCCAGCAAACTCGCCCCAGCCAGAGGTGCAGGCAGCCTGGCTTGGAGGCTTGCAGAAGGCTCCAGAGACGAAACGAGATCTGAGTTTTTGCAGAAGCGACGAACAAGGGGGAAACACCTCCCTACAGGCGTTCGGCATGGCCAACACGGAGGAGCTGTGACTCTTCCATCACTGCAACCAACAGCTTGGGGTTCAGGCCTGTTTGGTTCAGGTGTGGATAGCCTGCGTCTCACCCTCCTGCCCACAGCCTCCACGCTCATCTTGGGCACATCGCCAGGCAGCAGCTCTGACTTGTAGCTGTCCGACTGGGCCTTAGCAACCCACAACAAAGCACCTTGAGGTGGGCAGTACAACAGCGCTCAGAAGGAATCTTCCTGCCAGTCTCTGGGCCCAGGTCCCCGGAACAGATCCTGGTGGCCAAATTACGTCTGAATTGATGCTGAGCTGCCCGGAAGATCTCACAGGATGGCATGGACACCTTAGCGCCCGCGTCCAGTCTTCAATCCTCCAGCCTCACTGAGGATCCGGCCACTCGCACCTGGCAACTTCACACATCGACTTGATCCAAAGCGAGGCAGCGAGCGCAGCGACGGCCTTCTTGCCATCCATTCTCTTGGCCGCGTCCACGCAAAGGCCAACCTCTGAGCCAGTTCCAATCCTCAGAGACACCGCGACATGAAAAGTCAGCAAAGACACGTCAACACAGTCTGCGGGCAGGAGTCAGGATGAGCTCCGGGTCCGCACACTCAATCACCTCGTAGGCACCTGGATGTGCAACCCAAGGAAGCCGACTCTTCTGACAAATGACATATGACATATGTCAATGTTACAGGTATATGTAGTGTGTGCTCACGTTGTAACGACATGTTGCAACGGCGCAGCATGCCACACAGCACATGCTGGGTTCGCAGCCCTTGAGGGTGTTCTCAATGGAGGAGTTGGGGAGGTTGTCCAAGGCTTGGCGGGAGAAGGCCATCATCGTAGGCCGGGAGTCATTCTTGGAGCGCTCCACGGCATACCTTGCGCACGTGCGTGCGCGGCCCTCAACCCTCCCAGCTCCCATTGCCTTACCCCCCGAATCTTCAGCCTTCCCCCCTCAACCTTCCAGCTGCCACGCAGCCCCTCGAGCCCTCCTGCCAATCTTTGAGTGGTTCTGTTGGTGAAGACATCCGCCCACCCCGAATCCATGCAGAATCAGTGTGCTGCGACGGTGGGCATACTTGCCTGTGCCTCCGCCAAGCCCATGGCAAGTTATGCGACACCTGCAGCCCAAGCTACGCATAGGCGCCAGCAGTCTCATTGCCGTCCGCAGGGCGGATCACTGTAAGGTCCGGAATGAGTCGGAGTGATGGGATCGTCTCAATGGGCTGATGGGTGGGCCCATCCTCTCCAACCTGGGCTGCTAAATGCTGCACATGAGCCTCTCCACAAAAGACTGCCCAAGTCAAGCGAGCAGCTGCGATGGAGTCATGGGTGGTCACGAAAATGGTGCCTGCTTGGGACAGCGCAGCAATGCGGATGGCGCCGCGCATGTAGTCAGTGAAAATGGTGAAGGTGGCGCAATAAGGAATAATGCCTGCACATAGAGACATATGACATATGCTTGGCGGTGCTCTTTATACTGAGTGACAAGAAAGCTGACAGCACCATCCCCTGATGCACTGCCCCCAAAGCCCTGGCCCGCAATCCTGTCTTGTCCAGGGAGAGCGCGTTTGAAACAGCACCCATGCCGAACTCGCGGATGCCAAATCGCATGTTGCGCTCAGAATAGCTGCCCGAGAGGAAGTCGCCCGTGCACTTCATCCTGGGGTCCGTTGAACTCCGGTAGAATCCCAGTCCGTCAGCGAAAAAACTCATTGCATACTCTTGGCTTCAAGCACAAGTTCGGAGTTGAGGGCCGGTATCGTGCCGCAAAAACAAACAGACCAGCAGACCAGCAGACAAGCAGACAAGCAGAGGTGGCATGGCCGTGCCAAGCGGCAAGGTCATGTTGGAGGGCGCCAAGTCGGCCGAGCCGCCCATGAACTCCGGCAGGACATTGGCGATGGCATTCAGGCAGTCCTGCGACTGCGACATCTGCGACATGGGCGATGGCAGCCCTCTCCCGAACTGATCCATTTTTGGCTTCTCCGTCCTGCGAGTGCAAGCGCGTTGCCTTGCCCTTGTCTTCGGGCGTCACCTGTCCACACCCCCAGTTGGCAGCAAGTCCGCTGTGCCCAGCAAAACGTGCCACACGAAAGTGAAGGCTAGACCTGATGCTAGTATTTGATGCGCAGCTGGCGTTAACAACGCAACCGTTTTCGCAGTAGATTCGTCACGTCAAATTCGTCACAAGTCTGGTGTTTACACCTAGGAACAACTCACCCAAAAGCGTCGCAAACTTTCCCTCTGCCGGGTCACCTTCGCTCTGTGTCACTTGCTTCCACTTCAAAAGGCTCAGCACGACTCGAGCTCTGTTTGTTTGAATGAGCTCGGTGTGGCTGCACTTTTCTGAAGCTAATTTGCCAGCGCCCCGCATCAATGTCTCTTGTGTCAAACGATGTCCCGAGATTGATGAAATCCGCCGACAACAGACGGCGCTCCTTCCCTCTTTACCTGTTTCCCCTCCCCTTATTTTAGGGGCACGTTTCAGACTATTGCGGGTGGGGGGGGGGGGGGGGAAGGGGGAAAAATATCTTAGGGAGGAAAGGGGAGAAGATCTCAGGGGGGGAAATTCCTTTGGGGGGAAAGGGGGGGAAAGGATCTCAACAGGGAAAGGGTGGAAAAGATCTTACAGAGGAAAAGGTCTCAGTTCCCTTTCCTCTCCCCGCTCTGACTGTCATGGTCCTTGCAGAACTCAGGGAGCACACCACTTTTCTCTCCAACCTCCGATATCATGAGTCCTTGCGCTGAAGGAGAGCGATCCTTCGTCCAGGAAGAGATGCCGAGTCTGATGTCTGCTGTGCCGCAGCGGCTTGGCACCAGATCTTGGAAAACGCCCGAGCAGCTCGTGACTCGCCATGTAAAATGGGTGTGTGAGAGAGAGAGAGAGAGAGGGAGAGAGTGCGCTTCCTGTCCATGTGACCATGCCATGTGCGCCATCTGTGTCTAGGTAAGGCCTGTGCCACGATGGCTTGGTGAGACTTTCTTGCCCAGCGCGCGAGGCAGACTCTCTCCCCACAGACGCCTCTCCGGTCCACAACCCAAAAGGGACTCTAGGGATCCTGAAAGCGGACTGAGAACTGCCAGTCCCAGCGCTGTCAGGGGTTGGACTTGCTGATTGCTGGAATCGGTGTTAAACATGCAATTTCTATGTTCTAAACAGTTGAGACAAACGACATGACATGAAGTCTGACTTTCCTATCATCACCTGAAATCCCGCGGAGTGTATAAACACAGTTCACATCCACGTCGGCCGAACCCAACGGCCCCCTATTCCAGCAACACTTTCAAGCAATGCAGTTCCATCCGGTCCCAGTTCATGTTTCGATTCAACAACGACCTTGGGGTGGGCTCCCAGACCCGGGGAGGAAAAGGGCCAAGTCACTACTGTCCAAACTGGCTTGCCCGGAAAAAAAAATAACGTCCCATGATATAAAGATAGTAGATCGAGATTGTTCTTTTGTTCCTTTGTGAGCTTTGTACTACGCAGAAAGCTGTTCATTTCAAAACCCAAGCAATGCCCCCACCTTGGGCAGCGCATCCCTCCAGTTCTTCGGCAGCTCCCGGTCCATCACTGCGCGCTTGAACTGCGCCGCCAGCTCCGGCTCCTTCTCCTGGTACTCCTCAAATAGGTTCTCAAAATCAAATGCCACACCGCCTCCCCCTAAGGGGTGTCTTCCCTTTGCTTTAGCAATCACAAAGGCGCGTACACGCGAGCGCAGGCTGCTTTGCTCTAACTCGGTCAACGACTCCCCCCAAAATGCACGCAGCAAGCTGACACCAAGCGCCACACCTCCCACATCTTCTCCCAAGCCTTTTGCTTCTCGGCACCTGAGGACGCATGCTTGCGGAAGGTGTCGTAGACCTGTTCCGGCACCTGAGTGACGCACTTGGAATTTCATCTGCAAAGCCAAACCCGGCCTCAAACTCGCCGTAGTCCCAGCCCAGCTGCTTGCGCGTCGCCTGGCCCATTTCAGAAAGGCGGCGCAAGGCATTTGCAACGGCTCCCTGTGCCTCCGCCTCATCTGCTCCCAGGGGTGCCCCGTGGGCGTCATGGCTGTCCGCCTCAGCGTGCGTCTGGTTTGGCAAAAACTGGTTCTACACCTTCCATGCCTCGAAGCCTTCCATGCCTTGCGTGCATTCCATGGCTTCATTGAACCCACCTGTTGGTTGCAAGCACATGCCGGAATACAGTTACAGCATCCTGTGCCACGCGATCACGTTTCTGTGAATGCAGCACAGGGCTTCGAGATTTAGTTGCGTGTTGTCGTGATGTGGAAACTCAATCCTCTCCACTATCCAGGAGAAACCATTGGTTTGAACAGCCACACAACTCTGCGCTGCCCAAAGACTAGCAAACCCTTGGGCAGCCATCCTCATTGTTTTTTTAGGTGGTTCTCATCTTGCCATGAGCTGCCCGATTTGTCAGAGGCTGCAAATCACAGCGTCAGCATCTTAGGTCAAGCTTCTGCTTTGGAAATGTGGATTGAAGTCGCCATTCGAGCGGCAAGTGACATCTTTACAGCTGCAAGTGCAGGTGAAGCAAGGAGGCTGAGCTTCGAACCTTGTTGGGGGAGCCAAAGCCGATAGTGGTCTTCACCTGAAACTTATCAGCTGCGCAAAGCATTACTGACTTCAGCTGGCCTTGATGAGCGTCGGTTTGTCTGTGCAAGCCTTGGCATCCTCCGAGAGTCAAAGCGCGACACTACACCCAAGCCGAAAAGTTCATCAGCAAGGAATGTGTGGAAAGCAATGGCCAGAGTGATGCTCAATTAGCACGCCCTTGCATTGCCTGACATTGCCCACACACGGACACCAACAAACTACACACAGAATATCCACACAACAAACACGCGTGTGCACACAAGCAAGGCCTTGATGGCCTTGCGGATGGAATCCACATCCGTGTTGCCCTCGCTCACCGTCAACACCTGGCTAGGAACAGGGAGACTGGGGAAGCGATGAGATCCGAGCCTGCCAGCCATAGGCTTCGAAGCGTTTGCCCACGTCCTCGGTGAAGGAGAGGTCGGTGTGGCCATCGATGGTGATGCCGTTGTCATCGTAGAAGGCCTGAGCTCAGGTAACATGACGTTGACGTGGCATCGCAAGGGAGGTGAGCATGGTGCACAAGGGGAGGGGCAGCATGTCCATCTTTTCATTGGATCACGAGTGTCCAAATTGCCGAGGTACAATCAGCTTGCCCAAGCCAAGGTGGCCAGCGTAGGCGCAGGCCTCATGGGAGATGCCCTCCTGCATGCACCCGTCACCTGAGTTCAGAACATCAAATTGTTAGGTTTCAACTTGTAATGTTGCAGAATGTTGCAGGGTTGAAATGCATGTTGGCTAAATGTCCAGTTACCGCCCCTCGCACCACGACAACAGACAGAATCTCAGCCGGACAACCCGCAATAGTGTACGTGTAGTGGTCAATCAGCTCCATGCCGGGCTTGTTGTACACCTTAGCCCAGAGCTGGCCCGGGTGACAAGACGGCAGTCTTCGTTCAATGGAACGAGCGCTGACACCACGACTTTCCCGTCTCGCCACAAGTCCGAGGCGCTGCGGCAAGGTGCGCCTCTGCAGCGGCAAGGCCCACAGCATTGGAGATGCCCATGCCCAAAGGACCCGTGGTCCTCAAGATTCCCACTCGAAGCTTTCTCTCCAACCGCTTTGGACAGTAGATTTCCATTGCGGACAATCCGTATGTGGTTCCAAACCTGTGTCCTTGCCTGTCCTGCCGTCTGACGGAAAATCGTTGATACTGGCAAAAAGGTTTCAGCGTGCAGGCAATCTGCGAATCTTCAGGGTGCCGTGACGTTTCAACATGCATCATAATTACAAAGCTTCAAAATGCAAGAAGCAGTTGGAGCAGGCATACCACAAGAAATCGGCCGGCGCTCAGCCTCGCCAAGGCTCACTTCGATGCCGTCTGTCTCGAAATTCTCCGGGTGGCCCGGGGTCTTAGAGCCCCACTGGCGGAACTGCTTGAGATCATCCATGGAGACGCTCTCGTACCCAGCCAAGTGCAACAGAGAGTACTGCAGCATGCATCCATGGCCTGAAGAGAGCACGAAGCGGTCCCTGTTCACCCACTTGGAGTCTTTAGGGTTGTGCTGCATCTCCTCCGCAAAGAGCAAGTATCCAATCGGAGCTTGTCCCATGGGGGCACCCGGGTGGCCACTGTTTGCCTTGTTCACGGCATCCACAGCCAGGAAGCGGATGGCGTTGATGCACTCCGTGTCGACGTCCACATCAGTGGCTGTTGCCATGCGCACCACTGCCTCCTTCCTGGCGCAGCGCTTGGAGGGCCTCACGGCAGCAGCGGCGGCAAGGGCCGCTGCTCCTGCGCCCAAGACGCTGCACTGCGCCGCAGCAGGCGCCGCAGGCGCCGCAGATGCAGGTGTGACATTGGCACTGACGGCGCCCGCGGTCTTGGCGAGCCGACATGTGCCAAAACCGCAAAACCGCAAAGCCAAACACCGTGGCCTGAGACCGAACAAGGCAATGCAACTAACGCAAGGAACGGGAGAAATGCGACCAGGTTGCTTTGGGAGCGACAAATGCTGGCGCCAACATGGTGGCAGCGGCACCTGCTGCAGCCACGGCAGCAGCACGCTGGGAACGAGTAGCCGGCATTCTGGGAGTAGGAAAACGGAGCTGCACTACAAACGAGCAAAATGCTGCAGGCATGCCGCAGGATTCAACAGACATCTTTACGCCAAGGAACCCTCTGCAGCTTTACATGTATCGGAATAACAAATGCCAACCCAATCAAGGACACGTAAACCGCTGGGTTTCACTGAACATGTAAGTAATTCAACACATCTGCAAATGTCACAACCACGTCTCAGATCGCAACGTGTCTGAAAGTGCGACGCATACAAATACAGCAAATCGGGTTTCATGCCTTCGTCCCTTTTTCGGTCTGCGTCGGCCTTCTTCGTTGCACTCGCACAAACATGTTTGGAACAGCTACAGCCCAGGTAACAGGCACAGTTGCACACGAACATACGCCAAATGCCTTTTGACAACGGTTGTTGGCTTGATTCGCATTCATCTGCCAGAAGCTGACATGACATGATTAATATCTATCAATTTGGCGGTGTGTCTTATCCTTTCCATGGGCGTCAAACGAGATTATCTTCCCACCAGGCATCCCTTCTGGAAATCTTGGCAAGAGTTGTGGAGCACCTTCTCTTTTCACGTCCATTTGTTTAGCGGGAATCCGAACCGCCAGACCCCGCACGAAACCCTAGGACATTCTTGAAATTGTGTTCTTTGAACCCCAAAAGGAGGGCGAGCGTTACAGAAGTGCGAGGAGAAGCGTTCTGGCGCTCTGGGGCTGCTTTGGGGCGCGAAAATCAAGCCACTTCCCGTAGCCAGAGAAGAACATGGCAGTTAGAATCTTGATCACTGCTTCAATCCGAAAGGGAACCAGCGGCAAAAGATAAAAGAGTACGCCCGACAAACATGTGCGCATGCTCTTTTTCTTTATAAGGCGTTGCTTGGAAGTAAAGGCTCGGGGGCTCTGCGGAGCCTTCTCAAATGCCCCCGTGGTCAACAATGCGTGTTCGACCAGGCGCCAGGTGTGTTACCTGTGAGGCGTGAAACGATCGAAGGCATCGGTGGCGGCAGAATGCAATGCGTGCATCCGGCTGGCGTGCCATGCGGCACACGGTGCCAGGTTGAGGCCTATCGAAACAGTCCTGTGTCAGCAGGATGCAATGCGTGCATCCGGCTGGTGTGCAATGCGGCGGTGCCAGGTAGAGACCTGTCAAAACAGTCATGGCATGCCGGGGCATGCTGTGCACAATGCCTCCGGGGTGTCAGCTGCGGCTGGGCCCTGAAACTTGCGGCCACTGCACGCAGAGGCATGGTGTGCACAGTATCTCTGGGGCGCCAGCTGCGGCTGGGCCTCGAGGATCCACCTGAGTGGTGAAAGGGTGGGAGGGTGGGCGCAAAAAAGGGAGGGTCGCGTGACCCTTAGGTGGCTTGAAGCAGAAAACGGCAACGCGTCCGAAGATTCGATCAAGATTGTTACATAAGGGAGAAGAAAACCCCTAAACGCTAGAATCTTGAGCACTGCTTCAATCCGAAAGGGAACCAGCGGCAAAAGATAAAAGAGTACGACCGACAAGCATGTGCGCGTGCTCTTTTTCTTTATAAGGCGTCGCTTGGAAGTAAAGGCTCGGGGGTGCAGGGGGAAAGACAGCGCGCGACCTTTTCCCGTGTCTGCAGCCCTCTGCGGAGCCTTCTCAAATGCCCCCACTTTAGGGTTCCAAGCAAACGGCCTAATCTATCACCCCCTCTTCAGAGCGTTTGCGAAGCACTCTTATGCTCCGGTCGCCACGGGGCGTCGGGCGGATGCAATGACAGCATGCATTTGTGGGGCCAGAAATCACGCGGGCGAAAACAAAAGCGAGCTTGCGGCTTGCTGTCGAATGCGGATGTGTTTCCGCGAGCTGATCAGCCCACACGTTGCGCTCGCCTGGGATGTGCGAGGCGAGTATTGACCATTTGCGCTTGTAGGCCCATGCGGCGACCAACTGCACAAAAATTTGCAAAGGCCACGCTGCGGTGAACAGCTTGTTCACTCCGGCTTCTGCTGCGGTATTGTCTGTACTGGAGGGCATGCAGAGGCAAGGCCACTGCTGCTGGGCTTCCTGAAAGTCCCATGTTTCTGCGAACCATAAGACGGAGCGGCTGGATATGAACCAGCCGCCTATTCCGACTTTGGTGCCTTCGGCACAAGCATCGGCGGCTGCTTTGCATGCCAGGATTGGCTTGCTTTGCAGCGGGCATGCCAGTCTGCCTGAAAACATTGAAGGAACCACTCGATGTTAGCCCTGCTTGCTGCGGACAAGCGAGTGTGCTCGGCAGCGGGGTCGGCTACGCGCACCCACGCTGGCTTGTGACTGGGCACGATGCGAGGGGCTGCGTACTGGGGTTTGCTGGTGTTCTAACACCCTGGAGCTGAGTGGTGCCGTGCACGGGCAAGGCTAGTACGGCTTTCGCGTTTAGCGCTGAAAGGAATGCAGGCCACAGGCGTGCGTTCACAGAGATCATGCATCCCGGCGGCGAGCGCAGATCTGCGTGTAAGGGCGCAAGCCAAGATCGCAATTCCAGACTTAGGCTGGTGGCCCAGATGAGCAGCCCCAGCTCTCCTGAGAAAAATCGAAGCGCCACCTGCCCGCATCAAAGCCTCCACGCCAAGCCGCCGCTCCTTGCTATATGTGCTATATGCACTATGTGGCTCTCACACGACAACCCACTGAACCCCCACACTCCACCGGGTCCTTGCTATATGTGCTATATGTGCTATATGGCTCTCACGCGCCAAGCCGCCAAACCTCTACAGTCCCCCGGCTCCTTGCTATATGTGCTATATGTGCTATATGGCTCTCACACGCCAACCCACTGAACCCCCACACCCTTCAGGCTCCTTGCAAAATGTCCTGTATGTACTATATGCTATCGAGACGCGCGTTAAATACACTATGTGTGCTACACAAGGCATATTTGGTACATGTTGAGATGCTATGTGTATAGTATACAGCTCTGCGGGTTGGCGTGTAAGAGCCATATAGCACATATAGCACATATAGCAAGGACCCGGGGGAGAGTGGAGGTTCTGCGGCTTGCCTTGTAAGAGCCACACAGCACATATAGCACGTGTAGCAAGGAGCCCGGAGACTGTGGAGGTTCTGCCTTGTAAGAGCCATACAGCACATATAGGACGTCTAGCAGAGACTGTGGAGGCTGCGGCTTGCCTTGTAAGAGCCATATAGCACATATAGGACGTATAGCAAGCCAGCCTGCCGAGCCGCGCCACCCGAGGTCGGAATTCCGACTTCGCTTTCCCACCGAGCTAGGTCGGAATTCCGACTTCGCTCTCCCATCAAGGTCAAGGCGAAATTTTCGGCGATTTGTCCCGAAATTTTCAAGCGTCGTGCGCAGGTCGGTCACGGGAGTGTCTCGCTGACCAGGACCCGGTCGACTGTGGAGGCTTCGATACCGAGGCGCCTGCCGCGCCACCTGCCTGGCATCGAAGCCTCCAGCCTGGCAAGATGCTGAATTGTGCTCTGCAAAGAAGCGTGCTCTGCAAAGAAGTGTGCTCTGCAAGAGTGCTCTGCTAAGAAGAGTGCTCTGCAAAGAAGAGGAAGTGTGCTCGGAGTGCCCGCGCCACCCAAGGTCGGAATTCCGACTTCGCTCTCCCACCGAGGTCGGAATTCCGACTTCGGTCGGAATTCCGACTTTGCTCCAAGCTTCCGATTTTGCCCGAAAAACCCAGCCGTCAGCGATGCGATGGGGGACAGCATTACTGGCGGATTGGTTTTCAGCCCGAAAAACCCTGGTGCGGGCCTGGTGCCGGGCGCGGGCTCCAAAACCAAAGCCGCACAGCCGGTCCAAGACAGGTGGCGCGGCAGGGTGGCTTCGATGCCAGGCAGGAACCTTTTTTTTAGAGGGGGTTTCCCAAATGGATTCTATTCCACCTGGTAGGCTCCTGACACTCGTCCGTCAAGGAAACGACCTCGTCCTGCGAAGGATTCGAAACCTAAAACGCTGCGTGCAGTCTTGTCCGCAATTTGGCTCCAGGTTGCATTTCAAGCGAGCTCAACCTTTGCCACAGGAAAACTCTTTTCCCTTCTTTCGGGACCCCTGTTTTGGAGCTCGCTTGAAATGCAACCTGGAGCCAAATTGCAAGCTCTCTCTTTAGAGGGGGTTTCCCAAATGGATTCTATTCCACCTGGTAAGGTAGGCTCCTGGGTCCAGGAAACGACCTTGTCCTGCCAAGGATTCAAAACCTAAAACGCTGCGCGCAGGCGTGTGGCTGCAACATAACGACCCCTAGATACGCTTGCAATTTGCCGTGCAGCCGCGTTTCTGCAAGGCGAGCTAAAAAAATAAAAAAAGGTCCAAACCAGCCAAGCACAGGAAAGCCAGCCAAAAGAAAGCCAGCCAAACCAGCCAGAAAGCCAGCCAGAAGCCAGCCAGAAAGCCAGCCAGAAAGCCAGCCAAACCTCTTTTTTTGATAGCCAGAAGCCAGCCAAACCAGCCAGAAAGCCAGCCAGCCAAAAAGCCAACCAAAAGCCGAGCCAGCCAGAGTTGTTTTTGGGGGCGCTTGCCTTGCAGAAACGCAGCTACGAGTGACTGCACGTATCTAAGGGTCGTTATGTTGCAGCCACACGCCTGCACGCAGCGTTTTAGGTTTCGAATGCTTCGCAGGATGGGTCGTTTCCTGGACGGACGAGTGCCAGGAGCCTACCAGGTGGAATAGAATCCATTTGGGAAGCCCCTCTGAAGAGAGAGGTTGGTCTGCTCTGCAAAGAAGTGTGCTCTGCAAAGAAGTGTGCTCTGCAAAGAAGCGCAAGTGTGCTCTGCAAAGAAATGTGCTCTGCAAAGAAGTTTGCTCTGCAAAGAAAAGTGCTCTGCAAAGAAGAGTGCTCTGCAAAGAAGTCTGCTCTGCAAAGAAGTGTGCTCTGCAAAGAAGAGTGCTCTGCAAAGAAGAGTGCTCTGCAAAGACGTGTGCTCTGCAAAGAAGAGCGCTCTGCAAAGAAGAGTGCTCTGCAAAGAAGTGTGCTCTGCAAAAAAAAGCGCTCTGCAAAGAAGCGCAAGTGTGCTCTGCAAAGAAGCGCAAGTGTGCTCTGCAAAGAAGCGCAAGTGTGCTCTGCAAAGAAGTGTG